TCCCACATCGATGACTGCTATTTACGATGTGTTCCCCATTGCATCGTTACCTTCATCATCTCCTCTCGTTCTGCTTTGCCCACCCATCCAAGCAATGTGCTTGCGTTCCTCCGCGTCTCGCAATACAGCAAAACTCGGAAGATGATAACAACGGCTCCGATGAAAACAACGACAATGCTAGTGATCAACATACATCCGCCACGCGGAATCGACACGTGATAGTCGTCCCTCTCGCTCTCCTGACGACGACAATAGGGAGTCCCGCACGCCAGAAGATACAAACGATCCTGACAACACCAGCCCGGTGACCAACCCTCCAACTCCATCTGGGAACAACGATTGAATCGTAACCCTTTGTTTCTGTCCCTCTCATCTTGTTGAAGCATTCCAATCGCATCGCATATGTACCCCCCTCCATTACTCTCATCTTGTTGCAGCATTCCAATCGCATCGTATATAGCAAATAAAATATTCGTTGCGTGCTATTCTCCTCGAATAAAATTAACAGAAGAAGGAAACCCCCAAGAGGTCATCCGCAGCGCGTGGCGACGCCGCGCTGAACAATATTATCACCAGCAACCTTGCGCTGGAGCTCTCAACATTGGCAAATCATCAAAATGTACTCTAGTGAAGATTTCCTACCGTTCAGGTTACCATCCACCAACTGGTAATCCCCAACTTTAATATTCATATATAATAATTCATAGATAACACTGGACACGTCTATCCAGTCAAATTACAGGAATGGTTGGAGGTGCAACTCCATACACCAGCACACAACCTACAAAAACGTGGCCAGAATCAGAAGACCTCACAAACGAAACCTTAAGCCTCATTCCCTTACACAGATCTGTGCACATGTCATACAATGACCCCAAAGCAAAGGGCACTGACTATCGGTGACTGACAACTATTTTGCTTAGTACCAACGGATGCCTTTACTATCTACTGTGGTCAAGGTCAAACAATGTAACTACGCTGGCTACGGCAAAAAAGTAGCGACTGTCTTTCAATAAAGTTTATATGATTTTGTCAAGGGAAGAGACTTAAAAAATCATTTATCCTAATTGATGACAACATTCCGCCAGCTGTGCTTGAGGTCAAGTCTTCCGTAGACATGGTTTCAGAAATCCACCGAATACAAACCATTGCCGATCAAACAAAGACGGAAATCTGGAATCAATTCCCCACTTCCATTCATAATTCTATAGCAAAAGTGTAGAATGAGTAAATGTATATTGAAGCCTATTGCAATAGAAAGTCACCTACGTAATTTAGCATAATTACCACGCAATAACATACTCATTAATGTATCACAAAAAGCACGTGTTTGCCCAAACAAAAAAGATAAAATCACTTCACAAGATATATACACCGCGGTAGGATTATAAAAGTAAAAAAACACTACCATGTCTTTTATCATTGCAGAGTACGGGTACCCACAAGAACACAAAACATCCCCGATACAGTCGTCAGCACCATCCCCTGAAAATGTCCAACAGTTAAATACCATCCATGATATTGAACTAATAACTAGCCGTGTTTTAACATTAATGAACTTGAAAGGAACAAGCATCATCTCCAAAATCAGCCAAATTTCAGAAACATGGCAACTTTAGTCAATCTCGCCTGTCCGTTCACCACACACCAATTCGATACTTTACCGTAAGCGTTGTCACTGACCAGAGCAGCATTCAAGAATCTGTTCAAACCGGTGCCATATCTCAGCACCTCATATCTCTGAAGTTATTCACTCATACAGAAATGGGACGTCTTTTCTCTCACCTCGGCACTCTCTTGGATAACCCCACATTTAGAATGACAAACGGATGAATCCAATTCACATTGCTTGACAAAGGTCAGTCTCCGTCAACCACACCCTAACATACTCTTTAGCCCTAGTCTATGACTGCGAGAAAGCCTTAACTTCGCCCACATTTAGGACTACCCACCATTCACCGAGGAAGTGGGCGTCGGATCAGTGGTTGTTGTGGTTTTTGAACTCCGAGCTCACGAAGCTCCACAGGACCAAACACAGCTTCCGTGGACTCGAAATTCATTGCTGTCCTCGACTCCACATCCGCACTTCAGCAAGTCTTACAAGACCTCCTGACGTTACCACTTCCCTGCTCAAGCACAGCTGTATGCCCGCAAATTGCTGAATAGACAAAGTCATTGCTGTATGCTATTGAATATAAACCATGAATGCACCTGCAAACGTTCATTTATATTACGGGAATATTATTATGGCGAGCAAAGGCGGCGTCCAGTATATTCTTGTCAGCGTTGAAAGCGTCAACGCTGCGCGACCCCCTTGTGGAGTCATAGACCGCCTTAATGTCCAAGAAACATAGCCAGTAACCGACCTAAGGTAACGTGGTGCCTTAGACCGCTCGGCCAAAGGACGCGAAGTAAAAAGTACTTAGTATATAATGTACTACAAATTGAAAAATTATATAAAACAGTCGGCCAGATGGCCGAGCGGTCTAAGGCGCCACGTTCAGGTCGTGGTCCGAAAGGGCGTGGGTTCAAATCCCACTCTGGTCACTTCATCTTCTCCGAAATAGTCTAGTGGTTATGATCCCGCTCTCTCACAGCGGTGGCCGGGGTTCAATTCCCCGTTTCGGAAATTGTTATCTCGGATAGTGTAGTGGTTATCACGTATCCTTCACATGCTCACAAGCTGAGATCGGATAAGGCCCGGGTTCAATCCCCGGTCTGAGAATGACGTTTTTTTTCTTCCAACCTTCGAGTTAAGTCCTTTCGTCCAAAAATAATAGGGGAGGGACTCCTGCATGCTCTTTCATTACTGTAATTAGCATAGGTTAGCAATACCATAAGAATCTTATTCAGACCTTTTACTTTCTGGTGCTGTGTATGGGAGTTGAACGAGGAACAACGCAGATTACTACCTTCTTGTCAAATGACGCGGTATTATGAGAGCGAGCCTCCAAACCAATATAAGGCACAAGTCCTTCAAAGGCCTGGCCGGAGAATCCCGTTTGTTTTTTTTTTTGCTATATTATTGATGACAACATATGTGATAGTGGCACATAAGAAGGCGCCTATGTATAGACGCTAAATTATGACAACATAAGCTTGAGATGGTCTTTGCCTAACACTTTGATTTAGAGTTAGTGGTTTCCACAAAAAGCTCTGAAACAAAAAACAAACATTGCAGTTGGCGCATACAGCTTTTAAGGCGTGGGATTTTGTATTGTTGGAATGTTGCCCCAACGAGACGCGGAAGCTATGAAGAGGGGAGAGTGTGACTTTGTAAAAGTTTCGAATTGGAACGTCGAGATTAAATGGGAGTGGATAGATTTGAAATAAGGGCTGAATGATGGAGTTTTATACGTCTGGATGGTTTTTTATGGTGATGGAGATGAAATCTTATAATATATGAAGGAATTAGCTTGTTATGGTGGTGACGCTTACTGATAATGCCAAAGTTTACGTTAACTTTTCCGATGGATAACGACTGGTACGTGTATTCTATGCCCAATTATACAATCATTGGAATCCGCTGACTTAACGAAAAGCCCTATGGAACGAAAAGGTTGTTGACGGATAAAAGTCCGTTAATAACATCACCACAAAAAGACCCATTGAACATACACATTCCAACAATCTCTACCCTCTATTCCCATAACACCATTTACAAAATAAGAAAACAGACGAGAGGCAAAATATGAAAGTGGGTGAGGTTTAGCATTGGGGGGGAAGGATTAAATAATGCATACATGCATTATGGTGGACGATGTCATTCATAAGGGTATATAGATGAAAATTGAGATGTTTCCGGAGGAAGTGAGAGGGCGAGATATTTAAAGAGTTAAGAGGAAGGCGGGATCGAGGAGATGTATGTGAGGAGGAGGTTTGAAGGATGACTATAAAACAGGTGAGAGAGGGGGAGAAAGGGAAGACGTTGACGGAAAGCAGATAAAGAAGTCATGGTTAAACAACACTCCGACGCTCTATCCAGTCTTCCCCAAACACTCAAGAACGAAGCGCAAGTTGCCTCAAGCAACTTTTCAGTAAAGCTTTACGTAAATCCAAACAACATCCTCATTCTCCCCTTTGAATCCTTTTCTCACTCCCTCGACCCCAAAAAAATAATTATGACCGTTCCGAAAATCTTTACGTTTTCCTATCACCCTCCCTCCCAGTCCTCTCCCTCCTCAACTCCTCCTCCAGCTCTCCAATACGTTCTCTTGCCTCTCTCAACAACCTTCTCAACATCTCGTTCTCGCTAGCAGCTCCAGGACTCAACTGCACCGCCGAATCCACCATCGGAAACCCTGCAGACCAAGGCGGATGAGTGGGAGACCGCGACAAAGAGTTTTGCTGTGTCAAGAACGATGGTGTGAGCGACGATGTTGTGGTGATGGTATTGGGAAAGGGTAACAATCGAGAAACGTGGAATTCAGAGTAACCCCCGAGATTTGTGGATCTTGTAGGGTAGCCCATCATTTGGACTTGAGAAGCGCTGACGGATTTTGTGAGATCTTCTTGGGAGTAGCGACGACGGGTTGTATCGGACCCGTTGCTGTTTTGTGATGTGGAACGTTTGCGTTTAGACCCGGTATCATCAGCGGGAGTTACAGCATCTATTAAGGACGATGTAGATGGGACAACAGTGTCCACCTGCGCCTCTGCCCAAGGTGTACCCTCGGACTCCCCCTCTGAACCACTCTCCTTTTCCGAGACAACTTGATCGACGGGGGAAGCTTGGAAATCTTCACCCAAGGGTAGGGATGTGCGATGGGTGCTGGGACGTTGAGGGAGATGACCTTGAAGATTTGTGCGGATCATGGCACCGACGAGACCGCCGCTGTCCATTTCAGCGAGGGCGGGGTAGGTTGAACGGACATTGAGGAGGACGAGACGATGGACATGGAGGATGTTGAGAGAGAACGAGCAGAGGAAGATGTGGAAGATGTCGTCGCCATGCCAGCACCACTATGATCCGTTCCGTCATCCCTTAGATGTTGTGGCAAAACAATCCTGCCTTCAACCGCTAAATGCCCACACCTCCTCATCCCCTTCAACACGGCATCATCCATCTCATCTTTTGTACCCTTCTCCAACATATCAAGTGTTTCATTCGCCATCTGGACAAGAAACTCAAGTACAGCTCCAGGTCCCGGTCTTCGTCGTTGCGCCTGTTCTTCAGGTGGCAACAATGCCTTTCCAAGAACCCACACTAAAGCGTCCCCAGCGTTATCCCCTTCGAAAGACAAGAAGCCTGGTTTGCGTTTTCCGCCAATGGGACGTGGCGCATTGACTATAAAGACTTTGGAGAGGAAAGCGTAGATCATGCGGTCTGGATGGACGCGGGTGGTGGAGAGAGCGGTGGTCATGACTTGTAGGGTGTGGTCTTTGAGAATGGGATATGTCCAGGGTTTTTGGTGGGCATGAGGGGTGGGCGAGGATGCGACGACGGGTTGGGTCATAAGTAATGGTACGAGCAGGGCCGGCGTTTTTCGTTGAAGAAAACATTTTGGAAAAGGAAACGAGAGCGCGACGAGTCTGGTGCTTGAATGAGTGCTTTTTTTTTTTTTTTTTGGCGTTGGTGGTATCGGATCAAGGGGGAAGGTATTCGCTTGTTTTCTATAAAGGCGGGGTCGGGGATGGTTAGATGTTTCGAAGGAAGAAAAGGGATGTCAAAAAGGGGATTTGAGCATGTAAGTTTTCATGCGGGGGGATCCGGTATTGTATTTAAGTGGTGGTCTGACCGCCGTATCCCTGCAAGCTACGTACTGTTACTATGTCCCCGCTATTGTAGATTTACACGGGGGTCCCGCCTTCTGATCCGCCCGACGTTCTTCTCTCGTTATTTCCTTCCGCCTGCGGAAAGATATGCTGAACGGGATTTACACCCAGCTCCTGTTATTTGAGTTTCCAAGAGCAGGAATTCAAACTTTGAGGAAAGGCTTTTTTGGAAATCAATCACTGGAGCAAAGTTCTTAGCAAGGATGAGGGAGGGTCGGAATAAAGGAGTGTCTGCGAAGGCGGGTCTGGATGGATGGGTGGTCGGTTGAAGTTGAGGGATCGACGGCCGGTGCAAGCAGAATGTGAAGGGATGGATGGAGATGGAGTTGGAATGTGCTGTGCAGTGAGACTAAAAAAAAAAGGCAGAGTGATGGGAGAGAAGAGACTCTCTGGTTGGAAGGATGTGCCGTTGGGAGGTGACTCTTTTGAGATTCAAGAGCGTCGTCAGTTGTTTAGACGGGCGGAGTTGTTTTCCATTTATAGAGGAACAGCCGGTAAATTTACCGTGTTTTGTGGATCCGAGAGAATTTATCCAAAAGAATAATTTTGCATTTGTTCTGGCCCTGTGTGCTCTATCTATCTATCTATGGGGACTATTAAGGGGACTATGGGGGTTCAGGGGAGGGGGAGCTTTTGAAGGAAGGAAGGAAGGAAGGAGAGAGGAGAGGGTGTAGGAGAACTAGAGAGGGAACGAGTGGGAGTGAGGGTGAGATTGTTTGTGTAGAGTGTGGGGTGGAGTGGAGTGGAGTGGAGTGGAGTTGACGGAGGGAGATCTCTGATGTGATATGTGATGTACGATGCGATGCTAGGGAGGAACTAGGTCTTTTTGCAAAAAAACAACTTTTGATATGGAGGGTTTATTCGGGATGATCAAACTTCTTCTGCTTTCTCACACTCAACTCACTCAACTAGTCAACTCAACTCACAAGGTGTATACATTCCATGCCGTAGAAATGATCTGACTGACCATGGCATAATGGTATCCCATCCTCTACTTTTACTAACTAACTACCGTTGTTCCGCATCATTTTCCTTTCGATTATTTTCCTTTTCTTCATGTTTTCTTTCGCACTTTGTAACTAAACAGGAGATAGTAGATGTGATATGATGGAGAAGAGAGAGGGGAAGAGGGTCTCCACCTTTAGTCTTGGTGGTTTAATAGGGTATTATATAATTATTTGAGAGATTACGGGGATGGAATGAGCGGGAGGGCATTATATCGAATGGAATGAAAGGATGCGGGATGGCAAACAAGGGAAAAAATGCTATTTTATTCTACATACAGACATACATACACTAATGCACTACACTATTTTTTTTTTCCTTTTATCAGTTCAACTCACTTTTTTCTTAACTCTCTTCACTATTATCTCGATGCAATAGAGAGATAGGGGAATTAATGTTTGCGTAAAAGTTATAGGATGATGATGGGATGGGATGTTGTTGAGATGTGTTGACGGCAAGTAGTGAGAGACTGTCTCCCTTGAAGGATCGTAAAACAAAGTGAGCAGAGTTGAGTTGAGTGGGAGAAAGAAAATAAAAAAGTATAAACAGATCGCCCTTCTTTTTTTTCCTTTGGTCCTGTATAGACTAGGCGAGAAAGAGCTTATCGACATTCGACTTTTCCAGGCAGAATTGACGCTTTCAAAAGGCGATGACTCTTACCCATCAACAAAAGTGACTCATTTATTTGGATTTAACAGCATTTATCATTGGGTGTGAATAGTTTCCATGCATTTTGACCCTCAATTCAAGGCTGTTTGTGCTACACACACGCAAGACTTTCCTCAGCCTTTGTTACACGAATCTCATTTGATCTCGATCCCTTTTTTGTTTGCTTTTACGACTCGTTCTGACTCACATTTTATAATTAAAATAAAAATATAAAATAATAATAATAATAATAATATAGTAAATGTAACTGTTATCCGCATTTTTAAAGGTCGAAAC